GAATAAATTACTTAGAACATAATGCTATAATCGTCAATACCAATTCATTCCGTCATTTGTCGGTTCGGAACAACGTCTGAATAACAGTTATATCTACAAAAATTTCTTTATCTCGCTATCACTGTACTTTCATTGTGTATAAAGTACCTGTGACAATAAAACACGCTGCTGTTTCTCGTCCAGAGGAGTTCAGAGGAGTTAATAAAAACAGTTAATGCGAAAACAGAACATTTTAGCCTTCTCTTTTAATTGGCTTTACTCTCTTAATTATAAAGATAACTGTATATTATAACCATAACCGGTTTAATAAACTAAATACCCAAAAAAAAAGTTTAAAGTTTTCCATTAAAGACAGCTTCGTAATATATATTTTAAGAAGAAACTCATATCATTACACAAAAAACACTGAAAGATCTCTTTAAAAATTATATGAGATGACAAGCAATTTTATTAAATTAATTTATGTGTTTTCTGCAATAAAATGAATTTATTTTTTTCGGCATAGATTCTAATTACGTAAACGTAGANATCAAAAACTAACTTTAAATAACTATACTAAGTAAAATCAGTGCACTAAAACTTAAGAACGATGAATGAAATTTTATAAATAATTCCATAAAAAACAATCAATTATGCGTTAATCGTGCGTCATTAAAAGTAGATTAAAATCGCGACAAAATTTTTTGCCTGGTAAGAAAATTTTTTAAAAAATTTTGGAGACTTAAAAAACATCCAAAAATGAAAAAAAAAAAAAACTTATTCCAAAGGGTTCGTAAGGCCGGTCTTTTTTAACGCTATGAAACCCGCTCGAGACTGCCTCGAGCATGGTTAAAAAAACTTATTTTTTTCTTATTTATTGTTCATTTGTATCTAATGAAAAGTTTATATCTTGTAGATGTAAAACTTGAAATTCAGTTTTTAGGGTACGTCATGAGAACGCACACTAAGAAGTGATTATTCGAAATTTTTCGTTTCTTTCCGAGGAAAGAAACAGAATTAAGGCTTCAACAATGGAAGTGTTGAGNAGTATTATCGATAGAAAAAGTAGCAAGTTGAAGTGTTTGTAAACGAAATAATTCAAATGAGAAAAATTGCCCACTAGAACGGTCTTTGTCTCTGCACTTTGAGTTGAGTAGCCCCTGAAGTCTAAAAGTTAGGTCATGGGTTTGCGCCTCGCTCGGACAGGCTTGGAGCGTGGAGTTTATTAAATTTTCATTATGTCGATGACCCTTGAATAGGAACTAGTTTCTCTTAATTGAAGTCCTTCAGAAGGCATTTTCCCCCGCACTCATATTGGCCATTGTACAAGGACGGCTCTTCAGTCACCTAGCGATCAAATAATGCTATTTGGAGTAAAGAGTGTATCTGTGCTGAACACTCCATATCAACAAAACAAAAGGAAATCGGGTGAGAATGATAATTACTTTTGCGTGCAAAGGCAAATGAGGGATGCCTGATTATAAATTCGGTTACAACCTCAATATTTTTAGTCATTGAAATTTTTTGAAACGTGTTTATATTTATACAAGAATAAATATTTAACTTTTAATATAAGTATGTTGTTGTTGATTTATATATATATTTTGATGTAAATAACCAAAATTTTATATATTATTATTGTCAAAATGTTTTAAAATATTGTAATCATTATAATTTGTTTTAGCACATAATCAATGTAAACATGCTAAAATAAACCTCGAGGTCTCAAACACAAATATATTATGTACTGTACATATAAATTGCCAGGTGATCAATAAAGATTGTTTTTTCTGGTTAAAACTTAGTCATTTTGCAGAAAGAAAACACCAATATAATAAATCCTAGTAAACATAAATTTGATTTGATGCATGTTCTAAGAGAAATTTATTATAGAAATTGATAAAAGTGAAGATAAGTACAAATAAAATCGATTCCTTTTGCTTTTTTCAAGTTACATTTTTTTCTTTTTTAATAACCGTTTTCATTTATTACTGATTTTTAAATATTGGCAAGACACTTTCTTTACGTTCACCAGATATTACTGATGATATCTGATAAGAAAAACGATAAACGTTATTTGCTTGTTAGAATACAAAACTTTAGAAATTGATCATTTACGAATTGTATTTGTCAATTATTAATGAATATTGTCGGTTTTTAAAAATTGTTTGCGAGTCATCTGAAAATGAAAAGAAATTTCGTAAAGTTTTCCCATTTAACTATTTGCTGCTTCACACTGCTAATCGCCGATTATTTATAACTAATTAAGACGAAACAAGCCAGGAAGTCAACGGGTATCGGGATTTATACGATATATATAGCGTAAATACTACAATAACAACGGTAATTTATTTTTTAACCTGTTTTTATATAATATTCATACGGAAACAGATTATTTTTTTAGTTGTAATATTGAGCGAGTATAAAGTTTAGCTAGCATGTTTTTAAAATTTATAGGAATAATTTAAAAACGGTTTACTTTTACTTAATGAATTACTAAGATTATTTATTTTTTTGAACGAATTTTAACTTCATACTCGATCTGTATGTACCTCTGAACCAAATCATACACAATAGATCATTTTAATAGTGCGCTTAGTGTTTTAAATTTAAATATACGCACACATATAACGAATAACAAAAAATTTATAATTTGTTACAGATATTATTTATAAAAAGTTCGAGAAAGAATGATATTTATAATTAAGACGAGTCAGAATATTTTTTGAATTTGTCACACGCATTTAATATAGTTAGACGAAACAATAATATTAGCTAAGATTTATATAACTCTGAAAGAGAAATTTTCACAAATCTTGCTTAACAAATTATAAACTTTAAATGTAAAAGTTATTGAAAAATTTTGAATAACGAATAGGCCTATTTTGAATATCGATTAGGCCCTCATCAGAAAAACATTTTTTATGCTTTAGTTTCTGTGTTAAGAAACAACACTTTTGAAATTTACAGAAATTTTATGTACCAGTACCATAATAAATATAACTGTAAATATGTTTAATCAAATTTGTATGACCATTCTTCAAATTAAAAGCACAGAATTGTTGTATAAATTATTATTTAACAGTCAATAATACTGTAAGTATTTAAATTCTTTTGAATATGTTTTAAATAAGAATTTCCACACATTTCATCATGAAAACTGTTTTTCAATATAAGTGCCAGGAAAAAGTAATGTTGCATTTGTACTGTAATATTTTCATAGTAAGCTATTTTTGTTTGTGTTGCGTAGGAAAATATAAAGCGAAGTGATATTCGGTGTCTATATTTAAGGTTCCACAGGATTTGATTTGAAAAGCAAACAAATGGATTAGAGAATTTGTAGAAAAAATAACTTATTATTTAAAATGTTTTAACAATTATGCATTAAAAACTATGAATTATGTTTAGGTGTAAATTATATTAAATTGTTAACTAAACTGCATTTCCACTTAGCATATTCTGTTGTAATATACATATACCATTAAATACAAGTTTCTGTAAGGTTAAAAATATTGTGTCATATAATAAAGAATGTAATAAAATCTTAATTTGCAATTTACATTTGTTGTTTTCGATTATTTTATTATTATAGAAAATGTACAAAAATGCTTTATTATAATGAAAAACAGATAAAAGTTACTTCTTGATGTTTAAAACTCTCTTAACATTGAAATCTTTGATGTAACGTAATTTAGCTTAATTGAAAATTTTTTAATAATTTTAACATTAATGTCAATACACACAAGAGATAGTGAAATTATAAAGTTCCTTTTATCGAGTTTTAGATGGAATGTCTGTAATTACAACGTCTGCCCTCAAATCTCTTACAAAGTTTAGGCTAATTGACCAACATTTCCAGTAGGTTGACGTCATTCAGCAGACCAATCAGCGCATTGTGCTATCTGATATTTTGTTGCGCGTTTGTGTGTTGGCTCGGGTTTTGTCGATGCGTAACGAAAATTCCCCCATTTTTGATAAAATAAGTGTGGCTATTGTATCGTCCAAAATTATTTTTTTTTTTTTAATTTTCTACAAACAATATACAGTTTAACCTGATTATAACATCACCAAATATAACAACAACCCTAATATAACGTCGAATCTTCATCGGTCCCACGATTTTACTATACTAGATAATGTTAACCGAACCAATCTATAGCCGAGTACAGTGGGGACTGATTTCTTCGAAATACTGTATTAGTTAGAAAACAAATGACGGACAATCTATTAAGTTTAACATATTTAGATTTTTACAGCTATGGTGAGAAATGTTTAAAATCTACAACAGCCCTGTCGCGTCCTTTGAGATATACTAGTGATGCGACAAAAAAGGTATTTGACATTGACCGGTATCGGCACCCTGGGAATTTGGCAGTCCGCGTGTATGCACGCCCTGCAACCGTCTTCGATTCCATTCATTAGCCACTCGTAGGCAGCTATTTGACTAAGTGCATTGTTTTAAGATTTAAAAAGTAAAGAATATTTTATATTTTTATGTACAGTACGTTTGTGTATAATTAAATATAGCTTTGCAAAGGCAAAGCTATATTTAATTATAATTTTCTTTAAAAGTATCTATATATATAACCCATTCAACAAATATCTGTCCGTCCGTCCCGTAACAGTTTGATAACGGACACTAGAGGCGCCCCTATCGTGTGTCATATTTCAAACATTCAAATTAAATTAACAATTTTAATTATTATTTAAATTAACAATATAAATTATTATTACTCATTTGGCCAATAAATTATTATTTGGTCAATATATCAATATAAACAATTCAGTATATTTGTAATAGGAATTTATTGTCGTCACGGAATGCATGTAATGTTCACTAGGGGGCGAATAACGAAAAACCGGATAGGTTTGAATCACTACGTAAGACGATAAGGTTTCAAATAGTTAAGGTAATATAAAGTAATATTTTAATATCTATTAACCCATTCAACGGGTAATGGCAATTTGTAAATAACGCCCACTAGGGGGCGTCCCAGGCTACTAGTATTCATATAATTGAAGAATATTTTGTATGTACCAGTACATCCACCATATATTTTATTTCATCAAGTAAGTTTTTATTATTTTATTTTTAATTGTAGCCCTTATATCGTGGCTAGCGATTCGGAATGTAATTGCTATATTAAAAATGCATTTAGAGAAGTATACGGTTTTTACTGGCTTATGGAATAAATGAATACGAATGGACCCTAGACCATCACTGACGGGCAATTGACTGATTGCCCCTGGATATAATGCACAATTTGTACACATCCTAGATGGTGTAGTTTCTACATATCAGTCTCTTACTCGCATGCTTTCTTTGTCTATTTTTGATGGGCAAATGCAACGCTTCTTCTATTTGCCACAGTTATTAACTCCTTATTACCTCTTAGAAGGATTTTAACTTCAATATTGTGTGGTTCGTAACACGACAAAGGTCAAAATGTGCTTTTTCATTGTAAATATTTTCACAAGTGGAAAGCAAAGTTTTCACAAATAAACTATAAGTACGAGCGATTATTTATTGTGACATGGTCACAATGCCGGGCTGCAACTTTTTTATCATATTTTAAAATCATTTAATTTAAAATATATGCACTCCACCTCAAATTAGTAGTGGCTTGCCCCTGTACATCATAAACAATAGAGTCGTGCCGGTCATCTATTAACTGCTTTGGGGGGAGTTTTGAATTGAAAAAACGTGATTTCCGGTTTGCATGGTAAGTTCATATATAGTTAATGTAAACATTTTTCATATTGTAATACGTAAATTATTCAATTCATTATTAAAACATTAATGAAGACTTTTTATATACACATATTAACGTGGCGCCGAGGGGGAAGAAATTTAAAAAACTCTAACGATAATACAGTAGACCCCCCTATAACACTGTAGATAATTCCGTGTTATATGAATTCCATCTTGTACGAGTCGCTTAGATTTTACAAATACGTGATCCGTTCACAGCCCGGCACATGTATTTCTAAAATCTGAGTGACTCGTACAACATGAAATTCATACAACACGGAATTATCTACAGTGTTATAGGGGGTCTACTGTATATGATATATATCGTCATCGTCTCCCTCGCTGTTTGGACTGCCGAGTGGTAACAATCAACGACATGTGGAAGCAGTTGAGTCAGAGATAGATGCTTCGTTTACAAACAACACAACCGTTTATTAAACATGAAAGAAGCTTACAAGATTTCCGCGATCTTGGAAGTTCTGGGTCTTCCTCTCCTTTCCAAGATAGTCCCATTTTGAAGGAGTGTCCCTTGTTCGCGAATGAACCATTCCATCACGTCTCGATGACTCCGGACGATGCGGTCGACTTCCGTTGATGGAAAGATGTCGATCCGAGGTCAGGAGATGGAGACGAAGATGGATGCGAGACACACACACAACAACAGATCCGTCACTTGGAACTTTTGGGAGAAGAAGCCGTCGCGTCCTTGAATTTCCGGGGTTTTATCCGTTTTCTCTCAGATTCCCCTTTTCGATTGGTCTCTCCTCGTCACCTGATGACAATTTGAAACCTTTTGGGGGCACGGGAGAGGTCAAAATCGAAGTTTAATTCGATCTCCAACCGGAAATGGTCGACGGACTTACATTCTTCTATTGTTTAAAAGTTAGAAATAGATTTTTATTTTATGAAAACGCAACGCTAACTACTATATATTTTTTCTCTAGATCTAAATTCTCGAGATCTAAAACAATTATTTTAACGCGAATTTTAGCGAGGGTTCAGACCTGTCCAGAGCCTCACATTAAAATGTATTTAATGTTGCAAACATGGTTTTTAATACCATCGTTTTATAAGTTCAAAGAAATCAATTAAGCTGAAATTTTGGGATGTTAAACTCACCCATCTCATTATCTTTTTCATATATTTCAGAGCTTATACATAATAAGAACTCCTTCCCTAGTTCTTATCATGTATGAGCTTCTATCTGTAAAATTCAGACACCTTAATTTAACAAAAAAGTTTAATTTTAAGTTTAATTTTAATAAAAGGTTGATGGATAAAAGGGGGTTACTACACTTCAAGTCTATTTTTTTTTTCGGTTCGAAGAATCGTCATAAAATCGAAATTTTTATTCATCTTTACACGAAGACAAAACACTAGAGTATTAGATTTTTGAATACATATTACGTTCCGCGATAATCCATCTCTTCAGCGACAGAGGCAGATAAATGAAGAAATTCGCTGAAAAATCTATTAAATTTTGTGGTGACGAAACAATAAAATTCTGACAATTTGTTGCAAGCGGTGGATTATTGTTATTGCGAATGGTTGTATTTTTGGTTCGTGCGATTTAAAGTCATTGATTTCAAGAGTTTTTCTGAGCTTTTCATCATTTGCAGTGAATTTATCGGTATGTTCAGACTACGAACTTTATAAATTTGGGTATTTTTGAACATTGTTTTAAGCCGATATCACAATTAGTGGCAATGGTTTTTCGACAAAGCGCCATTTAGATAACAATTGATCGGTTTGGTCACAGAGACGAGGAACGGGATCTTTCCACTTATTTAAGAAGATATTTTTCAGCTATTTTATTGTTAATTTCCGTTCAGTCCAAATTCAATCGAATCGTTAAAGCAAAATTGGAATTAATAAATACATTAAACTGTTATTCCCCGCTATGGTTTATATACACATCAGACATAAACAACTGACATAGAAACTGGAAATGTATATTAAAACAACACTTCACACCTAAGCGATAATTCCAGCAAATGAACGATAAAAAATTTTCATGTTCAAACGTTTTCGGCCGTCTTTCAGAGGCCCTCGTCAGGAAAAAAAATTTTTTTTTCCTGACGAGGGCCTCTGAAAGACGGCCGAAAACGTTTGAACATGAAAATTTTTTATCGTTCATTTGCTGGAATTATCGCTTAGGTGTGAAGTGTTGTTTTTATATACACATTATATCCCATATGAAATTCACACCGCTATACTCTATACTTTGATTAATAAGAATTTCTCTATTTTCACAAATATTCTGTGTTCTAGCAATCGATAATTTATATAAACCAATTTGTTAAATTATATATTGAACATTAAAAATCATTGGAAAGATTAAAATTTACTATACTTAATAATTAGAATATTTCTTAATTAATGAAAGTTCTGTTTTCACAACATTCGCTCATTTTTCTTTGCAGAATGGATAATTTCAAAGAGTTGAAGAAATGGCACACCTCGGGCCATGCTGAGCCCGAGGATGGCGCCTCACCTTCACCTCCGAAAGATGCGGAGGAGGAGTCGCATACACCCGACGTCAAACGGATGGTCGTCGTAACTCCGGACGACAGCTCCTCGTCTCTCGTCCATTATCTGCAACAGCGATATCCGAGAGTTCCAGAATGGACGGTGGAGACACATTCACGTGAGACAGGACTGGACAGAAAGGAGTCCGAAGTAATGGTAGAAGAATCCGTGGTGAAGCTCAAAAGGTTGTTTTTCTGCCGGTAAAATAATACTCTTTCTACTGAGCCTTCTTGCACAGTTTTCAACTTGTGATACAGCCACTCGGTAGTGACCTTTGACCCGGCTACGATTTAATCAACCGGACTTGACTTTCCATCTCAATTTTCGGATGGATTCTTCGACAACATTCGAGATTCGTTTTTCCACTTTGGTTAAAGTGCATAGAACAACGAAATCTACTGTGGCAAAAGTGGCAACGAAACATTAAGCAGTGTTCTCGTGTTTAATAAGACTGTTACAGTGTTGTTTAAACCACTATAACTGGCCAAAGCAACTTATAATATTTTGACCAGTGTTCTACTAGTAAAACATTTCACCACAGGAGGAAACTAACGTTGAACTTTAACCAAAAATACAGATTGCACTCGATATACATCCAAAGAATTATAATTACTTCAACAGTTAAAATTGTACATGGAATTTTCACGATTGTACTTATTAAATTTCATATTAACTGTAGTTTTAGATTAATTTATAGTTAATAATAATGTTTTTAACAGTTATGACGGATGATGAAAAAGGAAAAAATGTGTCATAATGAATGAAAAAAATTCAAATTTAATGAACTAAAGATGGAAAAACTTGACTGAGCTTCTGTAACTTAACCAGCAATCGATTTGGCCTTCACGTATATATTAGCAGGGATTGCTACTTATATATATGTAATAACCTATAACCAGATTGCCAAGTGTCACGTTGCTGTATACCAATAAACCAATTTAATAATCCTACATGTGCTATCATAAATTTCATTAAAGGATAATTTTCAATGAATTTTATGATGTCACATGTAGAAATAATTATTAAATAAGTTGTACAGAAAATTTTTGGACACCCTCTATAATAATTATAAAGACTAAATACAAAAAATAAATTTTTAAAATCTGTTAAATGTTCATGCACTATCACTGGAAAACAACTTTTTTTCAGAAATTCATTTTTTGTATTCGATCTTTATAACTGTAAACAAAAAATAATTTTTTAAATTCAGGATGAATTTTATTTTACAAATATATATTTACCTAAGAGCTGAAAATTCTCCAATGCTCCTGGTGCCATTCCAACACAAAATCCTATGGCAAAACCCATTTTAATTCTATCACATCATCTTGAACCTTGTTGATATTGACCTACCAATAATGGCATTATTCTATAACTAGCTGTTTCCTGTAAATATTTATTGCATGCTTCAGTGGTAATCTATTTAATGTATATGATCATCATCATAGTGTCCTATTTCCATTTGGAGTCCAGTAACCATCTCTTGCAAACTTCTCCCAGTCACTAGCAGTTCTTATTAGTTGTTCCATGTTAAAAGCAGTCCATGCCTTGATGTTCTCCAGCAATGACAATCTTGGTCTTACTCTTCTTTTCTTTCCTGCTGTTTTCCCTTACAGACTTAGGTTGAAGAATGTGATACTTGGTGTTTCTCATTAAATGTTCTAGATAAGATGATTTTCTTTGTTTGATGATGTCAATTAGTTCTCTATTTCTCTGTGACTTTCACAAAACTTTCTTATTTTAGCTGTCCATGGGGTATGCAGCATTTAGCTACAAGTCCACATCTCTAATGCTTTGAGTTGCTTAATCATCATCTCTTTTAATGTCCAAATTTCTACTCCATATAAAAGAGTAGACCATATGTAACATTTCATCATTCAAAACCTAATTTCAGAGTCCAATTGACAATTGCAGAGCAAATTATGAACAATTGGTGCAGAATGCAACACATGGTCATTCCAGTGCCATATTTTGATCTCTACATTCTGCATTAAATAGAAATTTATAGTTGAATGTTGTTTACATCAGTATAACTTACTATATTATTTTTGTATCATTACTAACTCCTGTTACAATTAAAAACTTAATTTGCATAAATTGTATCTTATCTGCAGCATGACAAACTGAATGGATCATCGTTATATTTCTTAGAAACATTTCTAGCTATAAATTTGTCTTAATCATAACAATACTATATAATAGTTTTTTATATTATTCCTCTTTATGTACTGTACTTCCTCTTCCATACTTGAAGATTACAACATAGTGGAAGAGGTTCTTGATAAACATGTTAAAATGCAATGAAAAATTGTGAAAATCCTATTAAGAACATAATACAAATCTTGACTACAGAAAAGCTGGGTTTGTTTAACAAGCTAGAAAATAAATATATTTAAAAAAGAGAAATGTAAAGGTCTTGTCTAATGCAAGAGAATGTTTTTCAGAACTTCCTAATATGAACTACCTCAAGTTTAAATCTATAACTTTAAAAGTTTTTAAACTCATGATTTATACACAGTGTCCAGAAAATTCCTTACCATATTTATTTATTTTTAAACTATTTAGAAAAAAAAAATTGTATTTATGAAACTTCCTTATGAAAATACTGCATTTTTTAAATTGATATTTTAAATTTTCTCATAATTATTATAAATTAAAATATATATCACATTTTTGCCTTTAAGCAGGGAGCTCAAACCATTTGGGCCTAAACCAGCACTTAGTATTAAAGTTAAAAGATTGACAGATCAGACCAGGATATATTATATATTACTGCTACAAATTAATTAATATTTATTAATTAATTTAGAAGGTGCTGGAAGAAAAGAATCAGTATGGAGTGGGACTCAAAACTGCCACTTACCATGCAGATGCAATATTAGTTTAATTATAATAATTACATTTAATGAGATGGCACCTAACACCTCATCTGAACCAAATTACTTAGCATTTAATTATTAACAGCTTGGGCTTATATATATATAATCGAGATGGGTTGATAATAATCAGCACAGAGCACAAACAGGAGTTGAAAGTTGAAATTTGGTACACAGTTAGGGTACATCACAAGAACATATACTAAGAAGGGATTTTTCAAAATTCCCCATGGGGGAGAGGGACAGGATTAAGGCTTCAACAATAGAAGTGCTAAGAGAAAGCAATGTGCAAGATTTACAGGCACAGATGTGGTTTTTTGCAGGAAATTGAACATATTTTTAGACCCTTCTAAAAATTTTTAATTTAGTCTGGAAACAGGGGGATCTAATTCTTGCATTCCGTGAAAATGGGTAAGATTGGCTGTAATGTAATAATCTTAATCTTTGCTATCGTTACTATTTGCCCGAGCAACGCTGGGCTTATCTGTTAGTATATATATATAAAACAGCTCTTGGTATTTCTTATAAAAAATGTTCAGAGCTGTCAAAGATTAGACTACTTCCAATTATTCTAAGTATTGGAGATCAAATCCTAGTTTAAAGCACAGCAAGACATTTCTGCCTAGCTCTCTGGATAAACTAAAGATTTTTAGTCTTTCAACAGAAATCATGTTCACTTTTTGTTCAGTGTTGTGACTGGTTATGGTCACTTTTATAAATGGTCAGTTGTGCCATTGCAACTTCTCAGTCTTTTGCCACCTTGCAGTTCTATGGAGGAGATTCCTCTTTATTTTACTTGCAAGTGTGCAGATCTTTGCTCAAGCAGACTTGTTCATCTAGATTCTACTTTTCTTTAGCCATGGTTACATGCCTCAGCTTTTCTTCAGAGGTCTGCTGTCTTTCTTTAAAGCAGTGGTTTTTAACCAGGAATCTGCAGAAAGTTTTCAGGAGTCCATGGATTAGATGGGTAAAAGTCAACTAATTATTTTAATTTTCATTATCCTCTTTCTAGTGCTGTGCGATGCATCGATGTTTTTGTTTGTCGATGCATCGACCTTCCGATGTTTTTGAAACATCGATCCTGAATCGATGTTAGCAATATGTGAATTTTGATTCATCGATGCATGCAGTTCATTCTTTGTTCCTAGTGTTACCACCTGTTCGGTTTTCACCCGGACAGTCCGGGAATTTCGTAGAAATTGTGAAATTGCGATGAAACAAAGTTCTTGCAAATATGTTTACAAATTTACACTATTTTAACAGTGAACGAACTCACACTCATTGAAACTCATCCTCAACTCTGCCATGTTAGTCTGTTTACGCCGACTCATCGCAGAATGAAAAAGGTTCTGTGGCATTAAAATTAATTCAGCATGTTGAGACTCGATGGAATTCGTATTTCTTGATGATTGAGAGATTTGTACTACTAAAAAATTTTGTTACACTAACATTGCAAAAGTTTCCAGGGGCACCCGACATGCTCTCTGGTAGAGAATTAAGTGCTTTGAATGATGCGCTTAAAGTACTAAAACCTTTTTATAAAGTAACTAATGAAATTTCAGCAGAAACTCACACTACCATCAGTAAAATTATCCCATTTTTAGGGTTAATGTTTAATACACTTTGCAAGGTTTCTACAGAAACAAATGTGGGAAAGAAGTTGCTGGAAAAATGTTTTAGTAATCTTGATTTCCGTTTTAAATCCACTGAGACGAAGTTAGTATATAGTGTTTCCACATTACTAGACCCAAGGTTCAAAAAGCTAGATTTTAAAAGTCCAGCATGTTGTGCAAATGCAATTAAATGTGTAAATGCAGAACTTTGTATCAATAAATTTCCCTCTGCTGAGGCTCAAATAAGTTTTCACAATAATGCAGAAAATAAACTTTAAGATGATGACCTTTGGTCATCCAGAAAAATTGATATTAAGATAGAAATTTTAACACAAATGCAACTTTAAATTCAAATTTTAAAACTTTTTTAGATGACCCTATTGTGTCTCACAATAGTAATGCTTTGGATGTGTGGAAATCCATGAAATTTTTTAACTATAATTTATGTGAACTTGCCATGAAGTGGCTTTGCATTCCTGCCACTTCAGTTCCAGCAGAAAGATTATTTTCCAAAGCTGGAAATACTATCAACAAAAAGCGGAGTTCTTTAAAGCCAAAGAATGTACACAAACTTCTAGTACACAAATTCATTATCAATTGAAGAACTGTATGCATTGGAACTGTAATTGAACTATACAAGTTGAAAATAAAATTAAGTTTTGTTTTTTTTTTAAACTGTTTGAGTTTATCTTGATTGAACATCGATGTTCCAATGGGCATCGATCAAACATCGATGTGAAATCTGACATCGAAATTTAGCATCGATGCTTAGGCAAACATCGATGTTTGACATCGATGTTAAAATTATAGACATCGCACAGCACTACCTCTTTCTAATCAAGCATCAGTTCATTAACAAAATTATGCTAATATGCTATAAATTATAGTAGTATTAACTAGATCTGTTTCAACAATAAAAGCAACAGATATTTTCATACCACATTACAGTTGTTGCACATCTGTTGAATAATTGTTTATGCTCATCAGTATTTTGAAATTTTGTGTTATTGTGTTAAGAAAGAAGCATTATTCCAAGAAGAGGTCCATTAACTCCACCTGACTGGAAAAGGTATCCATGGAACAAAAAATGTTAAGAACTTCCTGTTTTGAAGACATTAAACTTTTGAAGTAATTTATCATAGTTGCACAGACTGTTTAGGGTGAGGTGTGTTTAACCTGCAGGTCCTCACTTTCACCATAACAGCAGCAACAACAATAATTCATTAGGACTATTAGGCCTATAAGTTAAAACTGTAAAGTTTTCTTCTTAAAATATGTTTTAAATAATTTTTTTTAGTGAATTTGATATTTTGAATAAATTGTAAAAAGTGTAATTAAAAATATATATATAAGTTAGATTAAATTATGTTTCTAAGAATTTAATACAACATTGTTAAATGAATTTATTTTAGATTTTATCTAAAAATATATTCACAAACAAAGATTAGAAAGCAGATAAACTATCAAATATAATAAACAATTGCACAAATTATAATTTATTCATAAAAATAATTTCATAAATTTTTCAATATGTTCCCACATTAAATTGTTTGTAGTATTTAATCATCACAAAACATTTAAAATTGACATGATGATAAAATTATAATTATAATCATTAACAAATACTTCTTAAACAATAAAAATCAACAATNAAATATAACTTTTGTAAAATTTATATTTCAATTACATTAATATTTTGATTTATCAATAATTCCTAACAGTATTCCTAACAAATATATGTATATAATTTTTTATGAAGCTAAATATGATTAGAATTAACTTTTTTAAGTAAAATTCTAAATGTATATAAATTCTTTTTTTGTCCTGCTTGGAATATTTTTAACTAAATTTTTAGTTTACTATGTTTCTTATTTCATATTTCTATATAAAAGACAGAAATATGTTAAATTTATCATTTAAAAAGTACAGGAATGTAGGGAAGATTAATAGTTGAAATAATTATAACAATGTATTGTAAATAGCAGTTATATGACTACAAAATACCTAATACTACTGAATTTTTGTATATCCTATCAGAGATATAGGCTAAACTAACATTTTAAAAATTCTAGAACAAACAATATCTAACAATTAATCTATATTCCTGGATAGCAATGGCTGTAAGAATATATTCGGTATCATATTCGTTATTATATACCACTCTTTCTTGAAGAAAGATACATTAATAATAATTTTTTTTCTTTTTAATATAAAATTATTATATTTAGTAAATATTAAGCCATTTTTAAAAACAACACAGAGAAATAGTTTTATACAGACTAATAAACAAACACTGTATATTTTCTTGTAAATAAATCTCATTGGAAGAAAATAAATCACTAACATTTTTCTTGGTCGAAATTTGTCAATTATGCATTAACACGTAAAGTAAAAAGTAAATGTTAAAAATCATCCTTGAAATCGAGGCACTTGGGAAATTTTGGAAGTGATTAATCACTAAGTCTATATCATGTAGTTATATTTTGATATTTGTATTGTAAAATTAATTTTAGCATAACAAGTTTTTTATCTTTCCTTCCTTATATAATTTAAGTAAGGATCTTAAATACTGTTCGTATAATCTCTCTGAAAAGAAAGGTGCAATTGGCAAAAATCCTTCCATGAATCCAATATGACCTCCTCTTGATGTAATAACCATAGCAACATGACTACTCTGACTAGCTTCTTGATGTGGTAATGCTAAAAAAATTATGTAACCATTGGTTTAAATAAAAGAAAAATAAAATCATCATCAAATGAAACTACACTTACTATAAAAGGGAGCAAACATATCATCTGCTGCATTCACGCAGAGGACAGGTCTTTTGATACCATGAAGTCTACCTCGTAGTGAGGAAAGTTGATAATATTCATCGACACTATTGAAGCCAAATATTTTAGTGGTAAAGCGGTCATCAAATTCTCGTATTGTACGACTCTGTAATAAATTGAATTGCAAATGTATAATTCTTTCTATATTGCAACGATATATAATCAAGATAATAAAATGTAAATTTGGAAATATTTCATCCAAATTTATATACCATAAATATTTGTCTACAAATAATTTTAATATTTAATTAATATTTAAAAATATGAAATTTGATTTCATCCTAATAATCAATAAGTAATTGAGAAAAGTAAAAATATAAAATATCATAAAAATATTTCTATACTTGTAATAATTTAAAAAATTGAAGACTTGTATTTTACATTCTATGAACTATAGAGAAATCACAATTAAATAATAAGTGTTCAGTGCTCTCTGTGGAAAAAACTATTAGACAAATCATAATTAAATTTTGTATATATATATATGGTACTGTACAAGGTGTGACAATTTAATTCCTGGAATGCACCTTTAAAAATATACGTGTGGAACTGTACACTAGTGGCTACTGTCACCTTCAAAGAACTCTCCTTATGCATTTATATACAGACCTAAATGGCATTTCCATTTCTGAAAGCAGGCCTGGAACTCATTTTCTGGAATACTGTTAAGCAGCTGTCTCATATTCTGTTGGATATCAGTTATATTAAAAAATCTTTGACTTTTCAGCACATCTTTTAATTTTGAAAATAGCCAGAAATCAGAGGGAACTAAGTCAGGTGAATAGGCATAATGATCTAATTGAGTAATTGCTTTTTTGGCCAAAAATGTCTCATAGTGAGTGTACTGATTTGGTACAATGTTGTGATAAAATGGCACTTGTAGACACAGTTTGGGTCTTTTTCTTCAATCAGAATCTTGTAATCTCTACAGTACTTCTAAATAGTGTTGTTGGTTGACTATTTGTCCATATTCAATAAATTCTTAGACTATTTCCTTGTGATTGAAGAAACACATCAGCATGACATGTGTACCTTTTTTAGAGTGAGGTGAACTGGGGGATTTCAATTGCATGCTCTGATGTTCTGTTTCTGGGTTGTACTATAACGTTTCAATAGTGCATTTGCTAATTTTCACACAAAATTTAATATTAATACATTACTCTAAATTTTTATGTTACTCTCAATCACTTATTTTTATGCCAAAGAGTACACACAGATAACTATTACCTTCCCAATAGCTAATTAACAATGCATTCTATCAGCTTGAAATTTATGTTTGAACATGAATGCAAATGTCATTTTGATATAATTATGTCATGAGCAACACTACATGACCATTCAGGAATTAAATTGTCACATCTGGTATATGTCTTAAGTGTACCATTTCAATTTTCAGGAAAAATTTTACTTCAAAATTAGCCACTAAAGCAAAAGGTGGCATTTTATACACATTTTCTAACAAATTTCCAGAGTAAAAACTAAAGTATAATAATTTATAAATTTCTTTTTGTATCCTTGTCTACTTGGACCTTGTTTATTAATTATAGACACACACAAATTAAATATTAGTTATTTAATAGCAAATGTAAACAGTTTGTTTTCCTTATTGCTATAACAATGGTTAAAATTTCTAGCTATTAGTTGTAAAATTAATAAAAATTTCTTCTTACAAATAAGAAAATGTAATAAGAAAATAACAACAATCAAACAAATTTGGCTTAAAAAAAATAATAATAAAATGCAGTGGAAAACAACTGAAATATAACTTTTGTAAAATTTATATTTCAATTATCTTCATGACGTCTATAAAATTCAAATGTTAAAAAAAATATAATTTCAGTGACATTAAAGAAAAATTTGAAACAAGTTTTTCAAGCATTTTTGAAAAATTTTAAAAATCAAATTCCTGTGTTTATAGATATCCCTTTTATACACTGAAAGAGACACAAGGATAAAGAAGGCGTGCACCTGAAATGCATATGTTTATTGAGTAAAGATTCCAATGAAAAACAGTGCCAATGTATGGTTGGTTACTTAAGTATATTAAAGCCAAACAATTGCCAGATTATATTAGGCTATATTACTACTGCTATTATTTATTATTTATGTATTTATATTTACATTTTAAAACATCAAAGATAGTTGATTTCCACCCCCCAAAAAAACAAAGAAGGAATCCCAATAAAATCATAAGCAAATATAAATAACAAGATAAGTATAATGCAAACAGGAATAAACAAATACACTATATGTTATAATGAATAGATTTACTCCTAGTTTTATAAAATTGAAACTTGTGATATAAATATCGTTCTACTAGATATATATGTGAAGCTATACAAAAAAAAAAAAAAAAAAAATCTGTGTGAGAATGAAAGGCGATAAAAAAAAAAGTGAAAAAACAGAACATATTACTTGTTCTTGCAGCAGGAATGCGAAGACCTAATCAGGAATTTGACCATTAGAGTATTTGAAACAAAGTATGCGCTCGAAATATTTCAAATGATATGAGAGATTGGGTAGACTAAGGCAGACTATGGCAACATTAGGGTTATTGTTATATGGGAGAATACAGAACTTATAAATCAAAGAGTAAACCTTATTTAATTTGAACTGGACATCATGAAATAAATATGGAGCAGCTGTTGTCCAGATGGATAAGCAGTAATCCACAATAGTCTGGAAATTTGTAAAAAATATAGTTATTAAGACAGAACTTGAAGAGATATTTTTACAGAAATACCAGAGAATGTCTTACCTAATAACAAGAGATTTAATGATGTGAGAGATGTGGTCATGGAAAATTAATTTATCGTCAAATATGATGCTGAGATCAAAATGGAACTTTACATAATTTATTTTAATTGAGTCAATATATATTGAAGGACAATATGGATTGTGAATAATAGAGAAACACATCATAACAGTTTTGTGTATATTAATTTTTAAATTATAACTTGCAAAAGTGGAACGCATGGAAATAATATCCACTTGTAGGGAGGTAGGATCATTAGATAAAATTTTAATGTCATCTGCATAAGAAATTATTTTGGAAGACAGTTTAGTTAATAATTTATCTATGTATGCTGAGAAAAACAGCATGCATAGTATTCAGCACTTCAATATGCTGCAAACAGGAGGAAAAGGTAAAAAATCAAAATCACCAATATGGATCTTACATAATCTTGACAGGAAATAGTTATTCAGCAGGAAATAGTCACTAAGCGTGATAAGCAGTAGATTGGGGAGAACTGAGTTGAAAGCCTGGGAAATGTCAAGATATACCAGTACTATGTAGGTGGATTCTTTTTTCTCAAAATTTTGCAGGATTGTAAGTAGTTTCAAGAATGGTGGTGATTGTGGTGAAGTTACAAATGCCACAGTATTGTTGAGGGGAGATTCTGGATGTTAGTTATGTGTAAATTTTATGGTATAAACAGGTTTCAAATATTTTTAGCATGGCTGGTAAGATAGAGATTGGTCTATAGGAGGAATTATCTTTTTTGGGAAAAACATTTATTTTAGAAATTAGCCATTGCTTTGGAATGTGGCTCGAGTTTAGTAGCCTGGTGAACAATTATTATTAATAAAATTCTAAGAAATTTGGAACTATAAATAGGTGTCAGGCACCACCTAAATTAATTATTAAAATACTAATTTAATTATAATTATTAAATTTAACAAGAGATGACACCTAATGACACATAATTAGCACTAAAGGTGTGTGCTAAATTTAGTGCTAAATTACATAGTATTTTATTAATGTAGTAGTAATAGTAGTAGTAGTAGTATAGCCTGATATATTCTATACATAAGAATAGTATATTTTTCAACAGAAACAAAAGTTTATTGTCAGCACTACCATGAACAAACAGCAAACTTCAGAGTAGCAGTGGCACTGACAATCAGACACTTCTATCCAGAATATGTTTTATTATATAAAGATGTCTATAATTTTCAATTGTACTGTACTGTAAATATAATCAAAACTTCCATAAATTTCTAAATTGTCACAGTATTCCAACATACTATCTTGACATATCTTTGTTTTATCAAAAAATGCATAAACTTTGTGGCATATTGACTAATATGATAATTTTGACTTAGTATTAGATGAAGTCAAAATTACCTTTTTGGATAAGTGTACAGCAATGACACTACAGCACAAAATAAAACAACAATTACTTAAATTTGTATTGCTAAATAAACATCAAAATTGTATCTATTGACAATGACAAAACTTATTTGTACAGTACATATGCAGATTTCATAATGATCACTTACAGTGATATTCACTAAACTGAAATATTTTTACTTTAAGGTGCATAGTAAATTGGCAGAAATTGAAAATAAATTTGTTATATTGATAATTTCATTATACCTGCATTCATTATAACATTTCAAAGTAATTATTAGTCTCAATAAATGAGATATGAAATCAAGAAGTTCAAATTAACAATTTTAAACTAAAATCTATTTTTAAAGAATCTGGTAATACCTGTAATACACTTTCCATGTTTACATCTGTTTTCTCAAATTTTTCTTTGTAACTGTAAAAAAAAAGTTACTCTCAAAATATAAAAAAAAAATATTTAATATATACAAAATATAAATAAAACTAAAATTAAAATAGATTATTAAGAAAGAGTTTTAAGTTATACTGACAATGGGAACTTGGCAATTGTTGTCATGGATTTTGATGAAATTTTATAGACGTGTAGTATTTACTTGTACTTAAACTCTATCAAAGCCGCAGGATCCACTATTTAGGTCATCTTCAGAAAATTAGGATTAAAATTTTCTTCAACCATTAAGATGTAGCATGCAGAACCTTTGCTTTTGGTTTTAATCTATATATGCAAAGTTTTTCTTTTCTTTTTGTACAATTTCAATTTTGCATTTAGGTGCTATTGTGGTTTTTATACAGTTTCAAGTTTTCATTTTCAAAAAAGAAAAAGAAAAGAAAGAAAGAATGTAAATGCAATAAATATTATAATCATAAAAACAGTTAAAATGAATATATTGCTGATGCATAACCACCTTTAAAGTAATCACCTTGGGCAACGATACACTTTTGCCAGTACTCATATAACTTCTGGAAGCACTGCTGGAAGCCATTTTTTGAAACCTCCTGTAAGGCCTCCTGCGATGCTGCTCTCACCTCATCTGATGACACAAAATGGCGTCCCTGCAAATGCTTTTTCATTGATGGAAACAAATAAAAATCACATGGGGCTAAGTCTGGTGAATAGGCAGGGTGTGGAAGTACATTAATTTGAGTTTTGGCGAGAAACTGTGTGACCATTTGGGACCGACGTGCAAGTGTGTTGTCATGCAGAAGGTACCAGTCTCCACTTTGTCAGATCTGTGGCCATTTATGATGAAAGGATTCCCTCAAACGACATAAAATGTCTAGATAATGCTCCTTGTTTACTGTTCTGACTTCGGGAATAAATTCTGAATGAACAATTCCTTGAGAATCAAAAAAACACCTCCATCATGACTTTTCCTTTGTTCAGTGCATCTTTTGTTAAAATACGCTGGCAACTAGTCTTTGATAAGTGAGTAGCCACAGCGATTTTTTCAAGGGTTTGGCGACGATCTTTGTGAACACATTGAGAGACCAACTTAACATTTTCCTCGTTCTGTGAAGGCCAGAGCGTTCATTGTCTACAATGGATTCTCGGCCCTCTTTAAAACGCCGATGCCATTTGTACACCTTTGATTTGGCCATGGTAATATCACAATACACCTTTCTCAGCAATTTTGAAGTCTCCATAGGTGTTTTACCTAAACACCAACAAAATTTAATGTTGCAGCGCTGTTCTTGAAACTTAATTTTTATTATGTCGCAAAACAAAGGTAACTATCTCGAAAGAAAACAACAGCACTTGCGGTTTAATCACGTGACATGGGCGAAACCAACCTGAATACGTAGGAAAGGTTTGATAGAATCAATTTCATATGCTGTAACTTCAAATACATGCTTTTGTTGTCATACATTACTGCAGTCACCGAACTTTTGGATTGTACCACATATAATCATTGCTATTCATTCGCACAATCTTCATATTTTGTTTTAACACCATAATGAAAAAATAAACTTCATTAATGTTTTTGAAAATATTTCTTTTGTGTTATTTGAGACTCAAATCATGCATATTTTAACATATCACAAAAAACTGATGCACTCAACTGATGAACCAGAGATTGTATTTTAATAGCATTTTTTCATAAAACTTTTTAATCTGTCTATTAAAATAAGCATTGCAAAGCTGACAAAGACAAGTATGTTTTGGTGGGATAATTTTTAATTGACAAAATGGAATATCTTTGTCACCTACAAAAATTTCATTGTATATTTGAGAATCTGTTTGACCACCTTATGAATCTATTATTGATATTAATAACAACTTTTCCTTTTTTTACACACAGTAATACCCCAAACTTATGCGATAGATGGAACCGAGCGATAACCGCATAAGTCGAATTCGTGTAAGTCAGAGTATAATTTTGCAATTTGTGTGAAATCCAAGTCAGATGTATGTAAGCTAATAATTGTTCTCATTAATCTTATTTCATCTTTTGATTCATTCACGGTTACAAGAAATCACCACAAAGAGTCTCTCAGGTCTCCGTAGATATAACAAACACAGAAATAAATAACACAAAATAAATTGTAGCTATGTGTCGATTCCGCGCGATACGTCCGAACATGTAAGCTGAACAATAGTGTGGGGGG